TTTTTTTTTGTTTCTTTCTTTTTCTTTTTTTTTTTTTTTTTCAGCAGGGATTGGGGGAAGGAGTTTGAGAAGGATTATTGTTAATTCTTCTTGGAATGTTGGGTAGAATTTACCAGTTATGACATCAGGTCCTGGGATTCTATTGGGAGGTTTTGAATTACTGATTTGATCCTCTACTCACTATTATTCTGTTCATATTTCCTGCTGTTTATGATTCAGCCTTGGTATGTTGCACATTTCTAGGAATTTATGCATTTATTTTGTGTTATCCAATTTGTTGGCACATATAATTGTTCATAGTAGTCTCATGATTCTTCATATTTCTCTAATATCATTTGTAACGTCTCTTCATTTACTTATAATTTTATTTCATTCCTTTTTCTTGGTCTAAGTAAAGTTTTGTCAATTTTCTATATCTTTTCAAAAAATAAATAACTGAGTTTCATTGATCTTTTCTATTGTTCTTCTAGTCTCTGCCTTATTTATTTCTGTTCTGATCCTTATTATTTCCTTTTTTCTGTTAACTTTGGACTTCATTCTTCTTTCTCTGGTTCTTTGAGGTATAAATCATGGTTATGTGATATCTTTTTTCTTCTTTTAAAAATTAATTAATTGATATTATTATTTGTTTTTTGAGACAGGCTTTCCCTCTGTCACTCATGCTGGAATGCAATGGCATGATCATAGCTCACTGCAGTATTGAACTCCTGGGTTCAAGCTATCCTCCCACCTCAGCCTCCTGAGAAGCTGGGATTACAGGTACATGCCAACATGCCCAGCTAATTTTTTTCACTTTTTACAATTTTGTTTTAGAGGCAGAATCTTACTATGTTACCCAGACTTGTTTCAAACTCCTAACCTTAAATGATCCTTCCTCTTCAGCTACCCAAGTAGCTGGGATTACAGGCATGAGCCACCATACCTGGCTCTTTTTCTTAATGTGGCATTTGTTGCTAAACACTTCCCTGTTGAACTGCTTTTGCTGTATTCCATAAGTTTTGATATGTTGTGTTTTCAGTTTCTTGCGCTTAAGCTGTTTCTTGATTTCCCATTTGATTTCTTCTTTGTTCAAGAGTGTGGTTTTTATTTTCACATATTTGTAAATTTTTTTTATTTTTCTCCTATTATGATTTCTAGTTTCATACCAGTATGTGATTCATATGATTTCAGTTTTCTTAAATTTGTTAGGACTTGTTTTGTGGCCTAACATATGATCTATCTGAAGATTCTTCCTGGCTGACTTGAGAAGAATGTGTATTATGCTGCTATTGGGTTCTAAGTTTTGTATATGTCCATTAGATTCATTCAGTTTCTAGCATTGTTCAAGTCTGCTGTTTCCTTATTCACTTTCTGTATGAATTATCTATTTACTATTGAAAATGACATATTGAAGTTCTCTGCTATTAATGTGTTGCTGTTTGTTTATCTCTTCAGTTCTATTAACATTGGCTTTATATATTTAGGTGCTCTGATTTCAGATATATATATGCTATTGTTATATTTTCTTGATGTATTGACTTCTTTATCATTATGTAATGACTTTCATTGCCTCCTGTGACAATTTTTAACAAATACTTTATTGTGTCTGATGTAAATATAGCCAGCCCTGATTCCTTTTGGTTACCATTTGCATGGAATATATTTTTCTATCCTTTCACTTTCAGCCTATGTGTCCCCTTAAATGTGAAACTTTTGTAGGCCGCATATAGTTGGTTCTTATTATTATTTTTTTTAATCCATTCAGCCACTCTGACTTTTGATTGGAGAATTTGATCCGTTTATGTTTAAAGTAATTATAGGTAAGAACTTGCTATAGCCATTTTGCTAATTGTTTTATGACTATTTCTCAATTTCTTCCTTTCTTGGTCTCTTCCTTTGTGATTTCATGATGTTTTTGTAGTTGTATGTTTTGATTACTTTTTCTTCATCTTTTGCATATCTACTTACAGTTTTTTAAATTTATGATTACCATGGGACTTACACAAAGTATCTTATAGTTATAACAAACTATTTTAAGCTGGTAACAGCTTAACTTCAACTGCTTCAAATACTTGGTGCCTGGAATGTAATGGTGGGCCTCTTGCTGGGGTCCAAAGTTGAAGTTGAGTGCTCACTTCACTGTCCTTCAGTCGTGTGGAGAACTTCTTTCTCCAAGTTGTGCTGCATAGGTTTGAGAGAGAGTTGACACATGTAATGTGAAACCATCTTTTCTATTTTCTTAGTTGAGTCTTTTCTTATTTCTGTGCTCCACTCAGGTGCTCTAGTCGCTTACTTGGCTTCCTTAGTTGTTGTGAAGATATTTTTGTGCATGGATGGTTATTCAAGTTCATGTTTCTATAAGGCGATAAATGCTAGAAACTCCTATTTCACCATCTTCGTGACTCTTGAAAATTCCAGAACTCTTAATTTCGAATAGGCCTGGGAGAAAAGATTCTGAATAAGGAAAAATTTTTTTTCTCTTTACCTGCATTGTAGGAGAAATAAATACTACTTTTCAGAAATGAGCATGAGATGTGAAAAACCTGCTTGGAAGATCTTTCTTCCCTGTGCATAGGAGTACTCTGTGGTCTGTGGGCACCAGAGAATATGAGGTGGGGAAGAAAAGATTCAGGGAGAGTGGAATGCCATGGCAGGTGTCCCTATAAAATGAATTCTAAACACCAAGAAAACTATTCCTAAATAAGTTCTTTTATCTTATATAATATATAGTGATACGCCAAGTACTATGTCAGAGCCACACCAGAAAGAATAATAAGATAAAATACTTGCTTAAAAAATCTTTTCTAAGATACAAAGTGGGGCTTTGTATTATTTCATGCAGACATGTATACATGAGCACAAATATATTTTTGACCATTACATGTACTATTTTTCAGAGTAAAGCTATAAAGCTAATGTGATAAGATTAATAATAATTTCAAGAAAAATTGATGTGGGGCTAAATGCTGCTGGACAAGTCATAAGATTGATTCAGGTCAATGATAAAGCTATCTAGGAGGGATTTCTACACAAGTGCTTTATTAGCATGGGGAAAAGAGCAGATTTCAGAAAGTATCAGGGCCATAGAAGCCAATGGAGTGTTTCTCCAACTCCAGCACTTACCTATCTATCTTTCAATGAAAGCTTTCTCTTTTATAAAGTAGATAAAAGATTTAATAGAAATCTAGAAACACCAATGGAGCCTTTACCTGAAATCCTACTTGTTAATAAATTTACTGGTCAGACCCATTAGTTCTAATGGAGAATAACTTGATATGATTTAAATATAAAATATAAGGAAGGAGCATGCATTATAGATTTTTTTTCTTCTGAGTTATTATAAAATATTTCTTAATGGAGTAAGAAAATAATGATCTTTAATCAAATAAATAAATCAGGTGAAAGTGTTTGTTCCCTCTGTAAAAATTAAAAAAATAGGATTCAAATTCATATTTGCTTCTCTGTGTGTATGTATTTATAGAGAAAGAAAATGAATGAGAATATAAATTGTATAAATATTTTCTTATTAAATAACATAATTTTTTTTCACAAAATGGTTTAGAATTGTTCAATCATTTTCCTCACACAATCATTGCATAGTCTGAAGCAGTAGTTTTTGAAGTCTGGATATCTTACTCTATCAATATTATATTTAAAAGTAAGAGTTCTATTTTTCAACCCCTAGGGGTGTTAAATTTTAATAACCTGTATATGGATTATCAATGGCTGATTTTAGTTGTAAGCCTGTTTCTCCTCTTCAGTATTCTTATGGCTTCTTTTCCCTTAAAGTCAATAGGATAGGCTAAGTGATACAAACTGATTTTAATATTAAATTAAGAGAAAAATGAGCTTTATAATTTTGGATCTTAGTATATGGGGTTTCCTCAAGGCTATGCTCCTATAGCATGGATAAGCAAAAGTTGACTCCATCACCACTAAGGGGACTAGCACTCATTTACACTCAATTATACATTTGGTACACATTTTCCCTCATTTTTACTAAGCTAAAGTACACCAGTGCTCATAAGGGCTATAGATGCACTTAAGAAATCATTTGTGGCATTTATGTCTTATTTGCAACTCATTTATTCGTATTTCTTATCTTATATTTCATGTTAAATATTAGTGCTATATTGGAAACCTGAAGCCCTGAATCACATTTCTTAGTAGCACTGTCTGAGTCACTGTCAGCTTTTATTTAAAGATATTTTACTATCTATCAGTTTCACTTAAGGAATTATTAGATTTGATGAGAGAACTTGGTGTTTGAAATGTTAATATTTATAAAATTACTGTAATGGGAGTATGGATTTCTAACTTGATTCTACATTATGGTTCTGAAAACAAAGCTTTGTATAGGGCACAGAAAAAGCTTGCTCTGACAGTCAATGTGAGCTATTACGGACATATATTATAAAAAATTTGACATAAAATAAATGAAAAGGGTGGCCTAAATGCATTTCCAGGTGTGTCATTTTCTGTGGAAGGGATGATTCACTGCAGTAAATATATACATGAGTTCAATTTGAATTTATTTTTTATTCTCACTTAAAATATTTTGAAAAGAAACAATGAAGAATGTTCATTATATAAAACCCAAAGTTTATTGCTCCTATTTGGGGCTAAATTTTTTAAAAAGTATGTAAAATTGGATACAAATTTGATTGTGCTAGCAGTAAGTTTAAAAACAATGTTGGCAATGTTTAATTATAAGGAAAATTCACTAGAATATCTGTACACTGTGATTATTTTACCTAAAGAAATGCAAAAATATAAACAGATGCCCATCCAGATGTGGCTGATTTTTTTCTCCACGTGGCATTATTGGCTCTTATTAAGAGACATCTAATCAAGTTTAATAGATATTTCTTGAAATGATGCATGGTATGCAGTGCATGCTTTCATTGTGCTTCCTGCCATTATGGAATAACGTGTCTTATTTGGAAATACAATGATCATTTCTATTAAATCATGTTCAGTCAGCTCATATAATAATACCTATATTTTGTGAATCATTTCAGATTTCAGAGAGCTATGCATTCCTACCAAGAGAAGCGGTGACACGATTTTTAATGAGCTGCTCAGAGTGCCAGAAAAGAATGCATTTAAACCCAGATGGAACAGATCATAAAGGTAGCTGCAGTGTCAAATAGTGAGATTTAAAGTAATTTGATTCATAATGGCAATTTATATCTCCCATTTTTATAAAAACATGGTAGACTGAAACAGTTCAACAAGTCAGATCATCTCATTTATTCAAGTAGGAGGCAGTGAATTTTGAATATCCACTTACAAAGTAATTCAGTGCCCATTCTTAGAAGAAAGACAGTTTCAGCTGTGGCAAATAACATTTTTCCCTGTAATAATGTTTTAATTTTCATTTATTATATATATTTCATGGTATTTTAGATATATTCAGCAAGGAAATTGGTTTCTATCAATGTCTTTTTAAATCTACTGATTCCTTATTTCTAAAAATTATTAATAATGTGGAGTTTCTTTACTAAAAAGTTTTACATAAAAATAATGATTTGGTTTTACCTCTCATTAAAATTATCTAAATTATTTGGCTAAATATGACTTTCTCTCAGGGATTATATCAGTCTAAGAGATACATTTGTGCTGGCTGATTCCTATGTCTTGGAAGTTAGATACAATGGCGAAAAGAAAAAAAATTGAGCAAATGTCCTTTGGCATTCAAAAAGTACATATAGAAAGTAAAGCAAAGAAGAAAAATATAAATAATTGTGCTAATCACCACATTAGCTTTACTCATTGTTACTCAGGATGTTTAGAAGGCCTCCTGCATTTAGAAATAATTAATTTATTAGTACTGTTAAACAATGTCAATGGAACCTTACCAGTTATTTTTTCTACCATCCAGCTATAATACTACCATGCTTTAAGACACTTGGTATCTAGAATCCTGTTTCAATTTGGAGAAATAGATCATTTTCAAATTACAGGTAGAATGCAGTATCACTTTCATTACCCATTAAAAATGTTTTATTACAGATAATGGAAAACCTCCCACTTTGGTGACCAGCATGATTGACTACAATATGCCAATTACCATGGCCTACATGAAGCACATGAAACTGCAGCTGCTAAACTCACAGCAAGATGAGGTAAAATAAAAACACCTACGTTTGTATCACTTACCACTTGGGAAGAAGCTTGATAACCATGACTATCATATTAAGCATGATGACATTTTGAAGACAGTAATTTATTTTTTAATGAATGAATCTCACCACAGTTGCACAGATGGAGAAAGTGAGCAGAAACTCCTAGCCTACAATATAGACCCCTGTCTTAACACCTATATCTTAGTGTTACATGGGAATTTGTTTGCTACCAAGAAAAATACATTTTCCTTAGTAGACCATCATTGAGCTGGCCTTGGTAAAGTATTACAAAGTTTAGAAGGGGTAAGTTCACAATAAAGTATGCCAAATAGTGGGGATTCTAAGGACATTTATGTACTAAGGCTATTTTGCATGGCAATCAGAAAAGTAAATTTTTTTTTTTTTTTTTTTGAGACGGAGTTTCACTCATGTTACCCAGGCTGGAGTGCAATGGCGCGATCTCGGCTCACTGCAACCTCTGCCTCGTGGGTTCAGGCAATTCTCCTGCCTCAGCCTCCTGAGTAGCTGGGATTACAGGCATGCGCCACCATGCCCAGCTAATGTTTTGTATTTTTAGTAGAGACGGGGCTTCACCATGTTGACCAGGATGGTCTCGATCTCTTGACCTCGTGATCCACCCACCTCGGCCTCCCAAAGTGCTGGGATTACAGGCTTGAGCCACCGCACCCGGCCCAGAAAAGTAGATTTAATGGATATTTCAAGTATAATCATTTCTCCACCATTCAAACCTTATATAAATTTTAAAGTTATTTTTTAGTTAACTGCTATTCCATATATTATTTATTCACTTGTGTGCATTTCCTAGAGGCGATTTGTGGTCATTCTCATTTAGAAGTGTTTTGATATTTTAAGTTGTCCTATTTAATTTGTATAGTGAGAATTTAGCAACATGCTGCATGTATAGACACTAAAAACATATTTATTATACTTTGTAGGATTCTAGTTAGCTAGCCGTTTTGGTTAAAGCTATATCAAAGCAGGGACTATGTTATATATGCATAGTTTATAGTCTCTAAAACAAATAACACTAGGAGATATACAATAGGTGCTGAGTACATCCTTGTTGACCAGTTAATACTCAATAGATGCATTCGAGTTATTTATATTAGGAGCAGGTAGAGGTCCTCAGGCTAATAAATTATCTCCTTGAAATTTCTCTAAAATAGGAAATGAGGTTAAATGTTTATTTTTCAAATATAGAATTATTTGTTAAGGTATGATTGTCATCTTTAAAAATTACTTGGTTGAACTTATGCATAAAACTCAAGTTTTTAGTTTTCGTATGTATTTAAGTGGGTTTAATCTCAAAACTGTATTTATAAAATTGTTTTATCTCAATAGACTTTATTGAGGGTATGCTTCATGCAAAAATTCATACTAATGCAGTGGTAATATTGGATTTTATAATGCCAGATGACTTCATATAAATCATTGAATAAATAGTAATAAAATCATTGGGTTAAATACATCAATGACAATTAAGAAAATACTAATGTTCATCCATTCCTGAAGAATTATAAAAAAAAACTATTTCCACGATTCATTATATAGTTGAAAAAAATTTTTAAATGTCTCATACACTAGTTAGTGCTGTCAGATTATTTGTAGAAAGCTCATTTAGATGTTGATATGTTTATTTCTAGGCCAAAATGTAAGAAGATCCACTTTGTGCCAACAGTGCAGCCCACATATGCTGATCCCTTCTGGCTTCTAAAAAATCATAAGTATTTCATACAAAAGAAATAGACCCTTTAAAATTTATAATTAGATTAGAAAAATAACTCTTATCCTTACATTTTGAAAATACTAAATTGATGTCACACTGACTTAAAATATTTAAATAACTAGTTAGATTATTTGCAAAATTTTTAGAAAATTGTGATTATTGAAAGATGAGAAAGAGGTTGAGTAAAGAAAGTCACATTAAAATGGAATTTAAGTGAAATATTCCTGTATAATAAATTATATTTAAATTTGAATAAGCATTAATCCAATTAGTCCAACGAATATTTATTCAGTACTTTCTATGTATCTGGCACTCTTGAAGAAAAACCGTGACTCAATTGAGAAAAATCTTTATCTTTTGTAGGGGTGAACAGGTAATAAAGAAAATAATGGCCATATGTATGTAAAAAGAAAATAACGGCCATATGTATACATTTTTTCTTTATTAAGAGAAATGAAGACTAGGCATGGGACTCTCTTTAGAACTAGGGATCCCAATTTTAAAGGGCTTTATTAAAATGTATCATTTGAGTAGAAGTGAAGAAAATATGTGTATGTATCAGAGGGATAGAGTGAAATGTTCCTGAGGCAGGTGCATATCTACTAGCTGTAGGAATAGCAAAACAGTCAACATGGTTGGAATAGAATGATCAAGAAAGAGGAAAATAAGAGAGTAGTTTAGAGACATAGTGGAGAGCCAAGTTATATAGATTCTTATATTTTAAGAACTTTAAAATTTTACTCTGAGTAATATGGGGAGCCATTAGAAAGTTTTGAGCAGAGCAGTCATGTGATCTGATCTATATTTTAACACAATAATGTGGCCTGAGAACAGACTGAAGAGGAAAGAAAAGTAGATGCACAGACACCAGTAGAACGTTATTACAGAAATCAGTCCTTACCTACACTGATTTCTGTAATAAACTCTTTTCCTTCCTGCATGAGTGTTTGGCTTTTGGATAACTTTTGGAGTTTGCTCTCCCACAAAACCGCTAATGTTGAAATGAAAACTGTGTTACTAGGCAACGTTGCTATGACAAAAATGATTCCAATTTGTAAACTGTATCAGAAGACTAGAACTATCTGGATAGAATCTTTATATTTCCTTAAGTTGGATGATTTTTGTGATTGGTATGTCCTTTGTGGAGACCTTAAGTTATTGACTGTGATGTGAATAGAGATTTTTGTCTCTTTGGGGGCATGGGGCTTCTCTGCCAAGTTCTCAACCTACCCAGTATGATTACTGTTTTCTTATACCTGAGCTATATCACAGGAAGAACTAAGGAAAATATGTCTAATTAACTATGTGAATGGCTACCTGACCCCTGCAAAGGCTTCCAAGGAAGAGAAACACCTGATGCTGCCCTCCTGGCAAGTTTCCTTTGCTACATGCCTCTAGAAGAAGCTGATGCCAAGGGTTTTCAATGGTCGTCTTATGAGTATACATTTTAATTGGATCTAACAAAAGCTTCTGAAGGATGTTTCAGGAAAGAAGATAATAGTGGCTTGGATCAAAGAGGTAGTGGTTAAGGTAGTGAAAAGAGGTGAAATTATGAATAGATTTTAAGTTTTGCTGATGGATTCGATGTGAAGCATAGAAGTCAAGAGGCAGTGATGTCTCCAAGGTTTTTAATCTGAGCAAGTAGGGTAGAATTGGTATTAACTAGTATAAGAAAAACTGTGGGCAGAACACATTTGAGATATGATATTAGAAGTTCAATTGTGAGCTCTTCAGCATCTTCCATTGACAGATAGCATATGAAGCCATGTGACTGAAGGTATTGCCAAGATAGTGAGTGTAGATTGAACAAACAAAGTCCAGCAACCTTGATTTAGGAAATTCCAATTTTATGACATCTGGCAGATGAGGAGGAACCAACAGAGGATATTGAGAAAGAACACCCAGGGTGTTAGGAAAAGCCGGAGAGTTTGTAAACTAGAATAAAACTGAAAAAAAAAAAAGTTTTTCAACATGTTTAGGGTAATGTATTATGTCAAATCAAGTGATAAGTCAATGATACTGAAGTCTGAAAATTAAATTTGTATTTAACCTGATAGAAGTCAATGGTGTTCATGACAAGAGAAGTTTCTGTGGGGTGGTCGGGATGAAAGCAGTAAAGTCATTGAAGAGTTTTGCTATGAAGGGGACCAGGAGAAACAGGTAGGAGCTGGAGGGAGCATGGGGACAGGAATTTTTTATTATATACATTTTTCTAAAATCAGAGAAATTATAGCATATATAAATGTTGTTGGGATTCATGTAGCAGAGGAAAATATTGATTTAGGAAAGAGGCAGGAAAATTGATGAAGCAATATCCTTGGCATTAATAGGTAGTATTGCTTGTACGAAATTGGAAAAGTTGGCTTTAGAATGGAGCACAGACAGGAGGGATCAGATAGAGGTAGGCAAATGGAAATTGTGGCGATTATGGAAGTGTTCTGTTTGCTCCTAATTCTTTAGTTTAAAAAAAAAAAGGAAGCAAGAGTGAGGATGTTTGACAAGGTGTTGAAAGTTTGAGAAGAAGAGAGGATGTGAAAAGTAGAAATCTAGACAGTGAGGAGTAAATTGACCAGGAAAATGGACTCTTTTGAGTTTTGAGTAAAGTCATTTAAATAATTGCTCACCTCCATGTCCAGCTATATGGGAGCATGCATAGAATAGAGTAAGGGAAAAACTAGAATTACTCATATTTTGGGGCTTGTCGAAAGAATAGAAGTGGTATGTAAGCATATGATTAAAATGACAAACCATGAAATTCTAGCCATGTAAGAAGATAAATGAAGTCATGAGAGAGGTGGGGTAAGAGCAGGGGTGGTCAGTGCAAAATGGTTAGAATCAAGGGGTTATAATTATCAGTGGGATGGAAATTTCATTGGAATACTAGAATACTCAGCATACTAGAGCAAATGATATGGAAAATTTGAGATGTTGTATGTAGAGAGTGGGATGCTTGAAATCAAGATTTTGAAGGATGTTCAGTTGCTGGTAATGAAATGCAAAGAACATGATTATGAGAGCAAAATGGCTGAAGAAAGGTAGAGGGCAAGATCATTAAGGAATAGTTCATGGAAGTGACAGGTCAGGATGTTTCCAGAGATACTGAAATAATCAGGGACCGAAGCATGTGTAGGTTTTTTTTTTTTTTTTTTTTAATTTTTATTGGGCGGGGGGGTTGGGACAAAGTCTCATTCTGTCACCCAGCCTGGGGCACAGTGGCGTGATCTCAGCTCACCACAAACTCTACCATCCTGGT